AGTTAATTCCTGAGTCATATTAGTTTTCCTAGCCCCATGTTCAAGCCTAGGAACATTTTCGACTATGACTGGGGACGATACTGTTGCCCCCCTTGTCCCACTAGTCATATTATCAGGGTGAGGATTTTCTGGTTCCACATCAACATGGTTATCATTATTTGTTTCCCTTCTATTACTAGCATTCGATGTAGACATAGTTCTTCCACTCCTAAGTCTCATGCAACACGCATACCTAAAACTAGTCCAATTATGTTTGATTTAAACGTGTCCCACCGGGCGTGCCAATTTGTTTATGGTGAAAAACGTTTAAAGGTTCTTTTTATTCGAACTAGCACACAGGCAAGGTTTCAATTTAGGTATTTGACGTGTCTTTACGAAATGAGATACAGAACAACAACAATGGAGTAAAACGTTTTAATGATTAACTGTTTCTAAGTATTCGTCAATGATTAACAGATAATAATATTCATGTACATAAATACTCAGATAAACAGAATGAACAATAGATATATTAGCAATACAGATCATCATTCATAATATCCAATCATTACAATATTTTCAGCGTTTGAGTACTTTCACCAATGATTTAATAAAGAGAAAGCTAAACTAATGCTAATCCTAAAAAGAGAAAATAAAAGTGGCCGAGAAGTGATCATACCCAAAGATAATTCCTCGCATGGAAGCCATGTGTGCAGGCCCACGAAGCCCATAACACAAAAGTATAAAACCCAAAACTTTAGGGCTAGAACGACAGATTACACTTTTGAATGTTCTGGCTTTGAGGCTTGACCTAGGCAGAAACCCTAGTGCACCTCGTGGCCGGAACAATATCATATCTTAAAAAAACTTACAAAAATTGTAATTTATATTATATATATAGAGAATAATTCCCTTTAATTTTCACATTCTTTTAAATATTTATATCCATCTATTATATATTAATTTTTTTTCCAATCTTAGAGATAAAATAAAAAAATATATTCAAAAAATTAATTGTTGACTTTATAAAAAATAACTATCACTTATTTTATAATCACATTTGCAATATTTATTATTTCTATTTTTTTATTTTATATTATTTTTAAACAAACTTTATTAAAATATAAAGTGTCTTTTTTTCGATAGTTAATATAATAGTGAGGAGAGAAGAAAAAAAAAACTTAAGTCAATAGATTACTAAATTGAGTAATTGTCTAATGCATCATGATCAACTACTAACATAACCATAGTAGGTTGATTTGAGGCCCTGGAGGATATATATTCTCACAACCCCACGAAAAATTTATGTTATAGAAATTAATAAAATAAAATAAAAATTTGGTGTCAATTTTTTAAAACTATTTTATCTCTAATTTATACTGACCTTCTCTAATTCTTTCCTACAATATTACATTCACTATCGTTTTAAATTCCTTGCAGTTACCTTTTTTCACTCCTCCAAAATTTTTTTTTATTTTTTTGAATAACATATGGAGACATAAAATCCCTGTTTCTCTCTAGTATTATTATTATTATTATTATTATCTTTTTTAGGATGTTGATAAAAGGTAGGACCACGGAACTAAGTTTTGCAACAATATTTAAATTTTTTTCTGGCTGGCAAATGTTTTGCTAAACCTGAAATATTCTGAAACAAAAGAAAAAGAGGAAGAGAGAGAGAAAGTGATAGAAAATAAAGAAGTTGGACCCGTCCAAAGGCTGATGATGGCGTGCTTAGTATGGCCACAAGGATTACTACACTCCTGCCAAGCTTCGTAATTATCACCAATTTTCATGTTAAAGTTTCAATTACCAGGACAAAATATTATATTATTCTTTCGCAAATTGTTTTTACTATTTATTTTTCTTAAAAATTGTTATTACTTGTATTAATCTATATTAAATTAAATTAAATTATAATAAATTAAATATTCAATATAGATTGATACAAGTAATAACAATTTTTAAGAAAATAATCATTTTATATACGTTTATGATTTCTGGTGAGAAGTGTCATTAATAACTAATTATCACATAAGTAATAAATCAACATGTCATATGATTAACTAAAGTAATAAAATATGTAGAAGTTTGATAAAAATGTATAAATTTAAAAATTGAGTGATAAAATTTTAAAAATTATGAAATTTTTTAAGTGATAAAATATACAAATTAATTTTTTTTGGTGAAAACTAATAGAACAGAAAGACATTTGCAATACTACTAAGCAGAACATCAATGACATGTTGGAATTGCTAACAAAGGCCACATAGATGATTAGGGGTTTGAACCGCAAACTATGAAGAAATTTTGAAATTTTAACAACTTGTGTCAATATATATCCATGATAAAATGTTGAATTTAATAAGTAAAATATTATTTAATTTCACAATTGTTTTTTACAAGTATGATGATGTATTAAAAAAAATAATTATTTAATCATATAACATTAATAAAAAAATTAATTTATCAAAAAATCAATATAATGCACTATTAAAATTTAAAAATTAAGTTAAAATAAATTAAACAATACTATTAAAACAGTAATTTAAAAAAAATAAAAAAATAAATATTTAATCCAAGAGAAACTGATAATTTAATAACAAAAATAAATACAAAAAACAGTTTTTATATTTTATTGTCTAAAATTTATTGTATAGGTACAAATGGTAAAAATATATATATAGGGGGATGGAACTTAGAAAACAGTAGACAACTGTTTGCAGTAAAATTTCAAAAGTGCCACTGGCAGACGCAGTGGCAGTGCCGGGGTAACTCGAGCCAACCCTGTTGCCTGCTTCGAGCAGACATCGAAAGGGACGGCTACTAACGGTGACTCACTTCTCCTAACGATTCCGTTAACCTCGCCGTTCCGTTACGCCAACCTCACACTTCTCAATGCGCCGTACTAATCCAACTCCTTATTACTCCACTGCCGTTACACGCGCCCTCCTCCGTTTAACTTTAACTTAACCCCACCAAAGTGAAAAACTCAAACTTACATTACATGCTTTGCTTTGGTCACTAGTTACCAAACCTTCCTAGCTTACCAATGAGTATTCAGTAGTGAATATTCCTCTAGATTTTTTTATTTATTATTTTTTTTTATCTAAATGCTTCTGCAATTATTTATGTATTTTTTTTTTTTTAGTTCGTCCATGGAGTATCCACCGCGTATCCACCGCCGACAGCAGTGACTAATCTCCTCGCTACGTTGGAGGCACCTCAAAGGGTGTGATAGCTGACCCCAAAATTTAACGCGGCTGCATACACAAGGCAGGATTCGAATTCCTCAAAGGGTGGGATAGCAGTGACTTATGTATTTATTTTAATCACTTATCATTCATTTAAATTTACATGTAATTTGATGTTTTTCATTTAAAAAAAAATGAGACGTGATTGCATTGTATTTTTTGTTTAGAAAATCTGATCAAAATATCAGATATGGAGTATGCCTATTAAATAGGGAGTGAAATTTACATTATTTTCTAAAATTTAAATATTTTTTTTTCTAATGATAAAACAATTATGCATTAAAAAAATATGTTAAAAAAGTAAAATATTAGTAGTAATTGTTTATCAGATTAAGCCTGGTTGGGCATGTTTTTCAAAGAAAATATTAATATACCTACTTCATTCATTTTCTTTTTAAAACGCTTTCAAGAATTAGAGAAGAAAAAGAGATTATTTGTTAAACCAAACATACCTTTCTCCTGCCACCATTTAAACTACTAATTTTATGCCTTTAAGATTAAACTGAATTTGGCTGACAGCAAAAAAAAAATAAAATGAAAGGAGTAACAAAATATTCGCATTAGAATTTGGTCAAACTTCTAATTAATGTTGTATTGTATGCAAACAAATCTTGCATTTGAATTCGTGAAAATGCCGTACTATGATAAAAAAAAAAGAGTGCTTTAATCAAGTAAATTTGAGTAATATTAAAATAATTTTAAAATTGTCCTACAATATTATATTATTTGTTTTATATTGTAAGAATTAAAAATTTAATATTTTAAGACATTAAATATATTTTTACTTTTAATATAATTGTGATCATGATAACAAGATTTGAGGTTTTTATTTATTTATTTGGTAACAAGATTTTGAGATTTATAGCGACGTGTATGGTATCCCCAAATTATAGAGATTAACACCCGATCGAGTTAAACAGTACAAAATTTACTCGTACAATCGATTAAAAACTACTCTTTAATGCAAGTTTCAAGTGGTTCTTTGTAACTATATATTGTTTATATTTACTAATAACTAATTTTTATTATAAAATAATTTAGATAAAATTATTATTAAAAGACATTTGATACATAAATATTTTTAGTTTCATAAGAGTATAAAGTTAAAAATGTTAATTTATTATGTTTGACCTATTACTTAAAAAAATAACATTACATTAAAACTATTTTAACTTTTCCACATAAGTGTTGTTATAAGAGATGTAAGAATTTAACTTTCTGAAATTAAAAGAAAGGTTTTACTACAATAAAAAAATATCTCACCACATATATTTACTAATTTAATGTGATAAAAATATTTTATTTTCAAATAATATAGATAAATATTTTTAAGAATATATATGATTAATCACACAAATTTTAGTTATTTATAAGATTATAATTCCTAAAAATTATATTGTTGTGCATGAAAAACTTTATTATATTCCAAATGTTCCATCCATGTAAACAAACTTAACATATACTACTATTTTGCTTTTCTTTTCATAAGATAAAAATTAAAAAATGATTGTTGATCGAATGATAACATAAACAAATATTTCTTCTTTAAATTTTAGTTGGATTAGGATGCACAAAAACACTAGTGACTAACGAATCAAAAATATGAAAAAAAAATAAAATTAAGTTGTATTACTTAAAAAAAAAAAAAAAACAAAGGTACACAATAGCATAGAAGGTACAAAAGTAACATACCAGAAACAAAATACAGAAAAAAATACAGTCTTGTTATTATAAAATGGAGGACACAGACATAAGACATAGACATAGACATAGACAGAGACACCTCCAACGGAGTTGTTACGTGGTAGCATTCCAAGGAACGCCGTTTCCTTACACAAAGAAAGAGAGAGAGAGAGAGAGTGTAACGGAATCAGGAGGTAGCATTAGCACAACAGACACGGTTCCAAAAGCTGCCTCCTCTCATAAATTCCCTGTCAACGCATAATCATTCGATTCAGTTATCATCTGTGACACCATGGCACGGTGATCACCATCATCACTACTTTGCGCACCCTTTGGAGTTATGACTTATGACAATGATGATGTCACCGATTCAGATTAATTCGCCACCCTCTCTCTGCTGAAC